GCCCACTACAACACTCGGCCATTTTTTTTTTTTATTATTGTTGTTTGGCGGGTCCAGGCTGGATTCGAACCTCCACCTTAGGTGTACATGGCTGGCGCCTTAGCCGCTTGAGCCACAGGCGCCGAGCCTACAACGAAGTTTTTAATGCCTTTTTAATCGTTCTAGATACACTGATTTCAAGCTTTAAGGAATGCCTCAGCTCTAATGTTCTAGAATGTGGTGAATCATCATACTCTATCTCCACTCACAATCACAGTCATGCCTCTCCGTGCTCACTGGCTTCACTTCTTCACCCATCAGGCACTCTTCAGCCCATTCCTACCTGGCTTCCATTCCCTTCACTCCATGGTAGTCTCTTACTAAAGACCATTAGGACCTTCAAGCTGCTAAACTTAATGGACACCCCTTCATCATCATTTTTTTCACTTTGAAGCATCATTCAACAAACTTAATCAATCATGCTTTCCCCTTGAAATAACTCTCATACCACTGAGGAAACTTCCTTCTCCTGGGCACAACACTGCAATAACATTCTAAGTGATCTTCCAAAATCCATTCATATTCCCCTAAAATTCCGTCATTTTGCAGCCAGAGTGATCTTTCAACAATGAAAATGCCCCTGCTTAAAACCCTTCAGTAGTTTCCTATGGATTTTAAGAGAATTTTTATAACACACCTGCCTGCCTCTCTAGACAGCCTCACCTCTGGTTATCATTCCCCTTTTTCTCTAAGCACCAGCCTTATTGGCCTTCTCACTATACATTACACATGCTGAGGTTTTCCCAGATATGGGACTTTGACTATGTCTTTTACCTGGAATATTGCTTCTCTTTATTTTATTCTTCTCTGCCTACTGCTACTCAAAACACACAAAAATACACACAAGTATGTACACACATGATATCCAAAATGCCAAGGTGCACATCCAATAGTCAAACCAGACCAAAGGCAACTGAACAACTGGCAATTATGGAGTTGAAACATACCACCAGAACAGAATAACAGCAAACACTTAAGTAACTTAACGTACACCAGGCACTATTTTAGGTGATTGATATATTTTAACATATTCAATGCTCAAAACAATCTGAAGAAGCAAGTATCAGTATATCTTGTTTTCTTGTACTTCATTTTACTTGGGCTCACAGATAACTGTTTTTTTTACAAATTGAAGGTTTGTGACCACCCTGCATCCAGCAAGTCTATCAATAACATTTTTTCCTATATCATGTGCTCATTTTGTGTCTCTGTGTCACATTCTGGTAATTCTCACATTATTTTGAACTTTTTCATTATTATTATCTCTCTCTCTTTTTTTTTTTGTAGAGACAGAGTCTCACTTTATCGCCCTCGGTAGGGTGCAGCAGAGTCACAGCTCACAGCAACCTCCAACTCCAGCTTAGGCGATTCTTCTGCCTCAGCCTCCCAAGTAGCTGGGACTACAGGTGCCCGCCACAACCCCTGGCTATTTTTTGTTGCAGTTTGGCCAGGGCTGGGTTTGAACCTGCCACCCTACTCACTGAGCCACAGGTGCCTCACTATTATTATATCTCTTATAGTGATATGTGATCAGTGATCTTTGATGTTACTATTGTAATTGTTTGGGGGCACACAAACCATGGCCATATTAGACAGTGAACTTAATCTATAAACGTTATTTGTGTTCCACCTGCTCCACCAACTGGCCCTTCCCTGTCTCTCTCCTTCTGAGATCTCCCTATTCCCCTGAGGCACAACAATATCGAAATTAGGCCAGTTAATTACCCTTCAGTGGCCACTAAGGAGTCAAACAAAAGGAAGAGTTGCACATTTCTCACTTCAAATCAAAAGCTAGAAATGATTAAGTTTAGCGGGGAACGCCTGTCAAAAGCCAAGACAGGCCCAAAGCCAGGCCTCTTGCACCAGTTAGCCAAGCTGTGAATGCAAAGGAAAAGTTCTTGAAGGAAATTAAAAGTGCTGCTCCAGTGAATGACAAGAAAACAAAACAGCCTTACTGCTCAGATGGAGAAAGTTGGAGTGGTCTGAAGAAAAACTGAAACTAGCCACAACATTTCCTAAAGCCAAAACCCAATCTAGAAAAAGGCCCTCTCTTCAATTCTATAAAGGTGGAGAGCAATAAGGAAGCTGCAGAAGAAACGTTTGAAACCAGCAGATCAGTTCATGAGGATTAAGGAAGAAGCTGTCTCCAGAACATAAAAGTACAAGGGAAAGCAGCAAGTTCTGATGTAGAAGCTGCTGCAAGTTATCCAAAAGATCTAAATCATTAATGTAGGTGGCTACACTAAACAACAGATTTTCAATGTATATAAAACAGCCTTCTATTGGAAGAAGATGCCATCTAGGACTTTCATAGCTAGTGAAAAGAAGTCAATACCTGGCTTCAAAGCTTCAAAAGATAGGCTGATTCTCTTGTTAGGGCTAATGCAACTGGTGACTTTAAGCTGAAGCCAATTTCCATTCTGAAAATCCCAGGGCCCTTAAGAATGAAGCTAAATCTAGTCTGCCTGTGCTCTATAAACAGAAAAACAAAAAAAAAAAGAGCCTATATCACAGCACATCTGTTTATAGCATGGTTTGCTGAATATTTTAAGCCCAATCTTGAGACCTACTGCTCAATGATAATGTATCTGGTCACCCAAGAACTCTGATAGAGACCTACAAGGAGATTAATATTGTTTTCATGCCTGATAATACAACATCTATTCTGTAACCTATGGGTCAGGGAGTAATTTCAACTTTCAAGTCTTACTATTTAAGAAATAAATTTTGTAAGAGTATAGCTACCATAGATAGTGATTCCCCTGATGGATCTGGGCAAAGTAAGCCAAAAACCTTCTAGAAAAGATTTACATTACAGATGTCATTAAGAACATTAGTGATTCATTGGTGGTCAACATATCAACATTAATAGGAGTTTGAAAGAAGTTGATTCCAATTCTTATGGGTGACTTTGAGGAATTCAGTGGAGAAAGTAACTGCAGACGTTGTGGAAATAGCAAGAGAATTAAAATTAAAAGTGGAGCCCAAAGATGTGACTGAATTGTGTAAGCTCATGATAAAATTTGAACAGATGAAGAGTTGCTTCCTATGAATGGATGAAGAAAGAAATTTATTTCTTGAGATGGAATCTACTCCTGTGTAAGATGCTATAAACATTGTAGAAGTGACAACAAAGGATTTAGAATATTACATACACTTAGTTGATCAAGCAGCAGCAGCGTTTAAAAGGAGTGACTCCAATTCTGAAGAAGTTCTACTGTAGGTAAAATTCTATTAAACAGTATCACATGCTACAGAGATGTCTTTCATGAAAAGAAGAGTAAATAAATCCATGTGGCAAACATCATTGTCTTATTTTAAGAAATTTCTCCAGGCTGGGCCCTGTGGCTCATGCCTGTAATCCTAGCACTCTGGGAGGCCAAGGCAGGTGGATTGCTTGAACACAGGAGTTAGAGACCAACCTGACCAAGAGTGGGACCACTTCTCTACTAAAAATAGAAAAAAAAATTAGATGGATGTCGTGGAGGGCACCGGTAGTCCCAGCTACTTGGAAGGCTGAGGCAAGAGGATTGCTCGAGCCAGGAGTCAGAGGTTACTGTGAGATATGACACCACGGCACTTCTAGCCTGGGCAACAGAGTGAGACTCTGTCTCAAAAAAAAAAAAAAAAAAGAAAGAAAGAAAAAAATAAAGAATTTTACCCACAGTAGAACAACTTCAAAATTGTAGTCACTCCTTTCAATAAAGGAAATAAAGAATTTCCACAGCTGCCCCCCAAAAAATCTTCAACATCTACCACCCTGGCCTATAGCCAATCAGTATCAAAGCAAGACCTCACACCAGCAAAAATATTACCACCTGCTGATTTTAACATTCGTTTAGCAATAAATTGTTTTTTAATCAAGGAATATATGTTGTTTAGACATAATGCTATTGCACACTTAATAGACTACAGTATAGTGTAACCATAAAATTTTATATGCACTGGGGTACCAAAAAATTAATGACTTCCTTTATTATGATGGTCTGGTACTGAGCCTACAATATTTCCACAGAACGCCTGTTCCATTATTACCTCTATTTTAAGATAAAATAAGGTACAGAAAGGTTAAGGAACTAAATCAGTGTCACAGAAATTCAGTAGCAAAGATAGGATTCAAATTTAGTCCTGTGTGAATGCTTGACTGCCAAAGAGCATGAAAACTTGGTTATGGATGATTCAACGGTCTCCCGTCCATAATTACACAGTTATTTGGACAAATACTACGTCCTCCTCTAAACTAAAAACATCAGTGAGAGTAAGGACCTTTCATATCTTACTCATTGCTATACCCTTAGAACCCTGTAAAACACATACTTGATGCTTAATAAATAGCTGTTGAATATATGAATGTTTACTGCTCGGCATAATTAATTTGGGAATGTAATGGGTTCCAGTCATGTCTCCTATTACTATACACACTACTATACACACACGCACATACACACACACACACATATATTTTGTTGTTGTTGTTAAATGTTAGCTGTTGGACCGGCAATTCCTTGACACACCTGGCAGCCCCTTGGTGTCCCCTCCTCCTAGCCAAGTCGCACTTGGGGCACCGGCCTGGGTTTTCCCTCCCTCCTTGGAGATGTGAGCTCCTCGAGCTAGGTCTGCCTTCAGATCTCACCTTCCACGTGGGGGAGGAGGCTGTTCCAGCTTCCAGACCAGGCCCAGGCAGCTCTCCGGCACCTAAGGGCATGTAGCGACCATACCTCTGCAGAGGCCACTGGGCCGCTCCTCCTCCAGGAAGCCCCAAGCAGTCGGACACTTTTCCCGCCTCCGCCATGTCTGGCTTTGCTCCCGGCACGCGAAGCCTGAGGGACCTGCCAATCTGCGCAGCTAGCCAATCAGAAAGCGACCCAAGGCCCACCCCTCCCCTCCGTGGCGGCCAATGGGCAGGCTCAGAAAACTCCTGCAGGGGGCTCCTGGGGCCTTGGGGTGGCTCTCCACCAAGGGAACCCAGTAGAGCCGCGGTTCTCAACCTGTGGGTCGTGACTCCTTTTTAACAATGAGAATACATTGCGGCATTAGGAAGATTGAGAACCACTGCAGTAGAGGCAGTCGGCTCCTCCTTGACGAAGGGTTGTGACGCTAATGAGGGGTAGTTGATCTCATCCTGCAGCATTCTAGCCCCCACCTTCCCTGGGGGAGCCATGTCATCATCCGGAGGTTCAGGAATTTCCCGAACTGGCTGACTCTTGGTAACTTCTACTCAACCGGCGCTAGGCTGGCTCTGGGAAGTTGCCTGGACGAGGGTATTTTCTTCATTCACAGCAGCTTTTCAGATGACAGTGTCCCTGACCCCACCACGACACAGCCCCAGGTCCACCCGTCATTCAGGAAACGTGGATATTTTCTCATCAGCCATCTTGCAGCCCCCTGGACATAACTCCCTCCAGACCCTTTGAGAGGAGCAGATGGATGGGGGGCTGCCGGCACCATGCTTCAAACGGCAGCTGCAACTAAATGACATTTCTACGTGATTCATAGTCAGTAGAGCACTGCCACATCTGTTATTTTATTTGTCCTCCCAACAACCTTGCGAATTAAGGAAGCAAAACAAAGATTATTATCCCCTTGGAATGGATGAAGGCAAAATGAGATCCAGAGAGTAGAAGAGATTTGTCCATGTTACATAGCCAGTGGATGGCAGAGCCAGAGTAGAACTGTGGACTCTATAATCTCTCCACGTGTCCACCTCACTTGTGAAGAATGTAAGTATTCATATAGTCTGAGTCAAGTCAGAAGAAAAGTATACAAAGGATGGAGGCTATTTAACTAAACATAAAGTAGAATTAAAATGCAAACAATTTTTAAAATGATGCATTCATAAAGGTACTAAATGTATAGACAATGGTTGGAGAGATGGTACTGTATTCATTCAACAAAGCATCGATTAAATTTCTACAGTGTGCAGACAACTATGCTAGTCATCACAGGGGTTACAGAAATAGATAAGGCATGCAATCTAACCTTCTGGGACCTCAGGATCTAATAAGGACAAAGCAAGGTGCAAACATACCCATGATAGCTGACAGTTAATGCCACAGGAATGGTGCAAACCATGTGCTCTAAGGGTTCAGATGAAGTAAATATCTACCAACAGAGAGAGGCAGTGACAATTGAGTTAGGACTTGAGGGGTGAGAAGAAGATTCCCAAAGGAAGAAGGGGAAGACCAGTATTTCACATGGAGAGGAAGTTGAGGAGTGAAGTTGCAGAAACGAGGAGAATGACAAAACTAGCTAGAATGCAAAGTTCTTAAAGGAAAATGAGGCTGCAAATGTGAGTTGGGGCAAAAGAGCATTGAACAGCTGCAGTGAATATGGATTTTACTTGGTAGGTGGTGAGGAATGTGGAAAATTTGCATAAGGGTAGTGGTGGGCCAGGCAGGTTAATCTCACAGAGCATATGGGATAAATTGGATTTAAAAGAGGGGAATGTGTTACTTATACATCCAGTACTCCAGTAAAGCTTACGGAAAGGGTCAGATTTCAGAAACTGCTTTGGAAGGTCTTTAAATGACACAGCAGTACTGCATTTAATGTAGTGGTAAACGGTTAAAAATTTGGTTTGAATCCCAGTTTACCTGCCAGCTGTGTGACCTTCGGAAAGTCACTTAACCCCTCTGTAAAATAACAGTTATTAAACAATTATGTGAGAGGGTTTTTGAGAAGATAAAATATGAACATATGTGGGAAAACACTTAGTAAATTACAAAGTGGTACATATGGTGGTACTTTCTATTTCCAGGGTTAAAGTAACTTTCCGTGAACTCTCTACAGGCAGGGAGGATGGGAATGGGAGCCTGACATTGGGTCTCCGAGGCACTCACCTTCCAGGTCCAGGGCTGCAGCTGCTGTCAGACACCCTTCATAGGAGCAGATGGTGCTCACAGTTGGGACCCTGTCAGTGCCCAAGGACACCCAGGGTCCTGCTGGGTTCCCACCTGCAAGCTCCCTTCCTAGACAATGCACCTGTGCTCGAGCTTCTGGGGCCACCAGCCTCTGCCAAGAACAGGTCATGTCTGCAAAGGGAGGTATGATAAAGCCATAGCTCAATGTATAGAGGCTCTTACAAACTCGTAGTATTAACAAATGTGACTTGAGCACTCAAGGGTCCCAGGCACTGTATTAGGTGCTGGGGATATAGTAGTGACCAAAACAGACAGAGCCTCTGCCCTCCTGAAGCCTATAGTCTAGTGGGGGGGGAGAGGTGCAAAACACTGAAGAAATTGCTCCATGTTTTTAACGGCCATTGTGTTTCTTTTTTTTTTTTTTTCTTTTTCTTTTCTTTCTTTCTTCTTTTTTTTTGAGACACAGTCTTACTATGTCGCCCTTGGTAGAGTACTGTGGCATCACAGCTCACAGCAACCTCAAACTCTTGGGCTTAAGTGATTCTCTTGCCTCAACCTCCCAAGTAGCTGGGACTTCAGGTGCCCGCCACAATGCCTAGCTATTTTTTTGTTGCAGTTGTTTAGCTGGCCTGGGCTGGGTTCAAACCCACAACCCTCAGTGTATATGGCTGGTGCCATGACCACTGTGCTATGGGCACTGAGCCCATTGTGTTTCTTTTTTAAAGATAAAGCTGTAATACTTATTAACATACAACTTTATATACTAAAAAGCACAGCTCTCACACGTTCAATTAGGTCAGTTTTGATCCTTGTATACACTGACGTAACCACCATCCAAAACAAGATATAGAATATTCCCCAAGCCCCTAGATTCGGTTGCGAGTGCCTCCTCTCTGTTAATATCACCCCATTATGGCGACCACTGATGTGATATTTATCCCCACAGCTTAGCTTTCCTGTTCTGGGACTTTATCAACATGACATCAGATGGAATGTTCTCTTATGTCTGCTTCCCTTGCCCAGTGTAGTTTTGTTTTCTTAGCTCCATCAGTGTTATTGCACGTATTGATGGGTCATTATTTTGTAGTGCTAAATAGCATTTTGTTGTATGACTTTTTCACAATTCGCTTACTCTTCACCTGTTTCTGGACTTTGGGTTGTTTTCTAGTTTCTTTCCCTAAGGCTGTTATGAATGTTTTTGCACAAGTCTTTTTTTGTAGATACGTGCTGCCATTTGTTTTCAATCAATACCTAGGAGTAGAATTTCTGGGCCCTACAGAAATTTAACTTTATTAAAAACTTCCAAAGAGTCCCCTGTAGTGGTCATACCATTTCGTGCTCCCACCAACCTCTTTAGTTTTAGCCACTCTAGAGGGTATGTAGTAGTTTTTCATTATGATTTTTATTTGCATTTCCCTGATGATGAATGATGTTGAGCATTTCAAATGGCGTGTTGGCTGTTTGTGTATCTTACATGTGAAGTGTCTGTTCAAATCTTTTACTACAGAGGATCACGTGAGCCCAAGAGTTTGAGGTTGCTGTGAGCTAAGATGCCACATCACTCTACCAAGGGTGACAAAGTGAGACTCTGTCTCAAAAGAAAAGAAATCTTTTGCCATTATTGATTTGTGGGAGTTCTTTTTATATTCTGGGTACAAGTCCTTTGTCAGATACATGTAACAAAAATATTTTTGCATTCTATCACTTGCCTTTTCATTCTCTTAGCAATATTTTCAAACGTTTCAATGTTTTAATTTTCAGGAGCTTTATGACAGTAGTTTTTTGTGTTCTACCTAAGAAAACTTTGCCTTTCCTAAGGTTGCACACATATCCCCCTATGTTTTCTTCTAGAAGCCTTATGGTTCTAATTTTTGCATCTAGGCATGTGATCTGTGTTGCATTAAATTAAATTGTTTGTGTGCAATGAGGTAGGGATTAGGGTTCTTTTTTTCCCCATGTATATGTATAAATAATGTTACATGGAAACAACTGTCAACCAGTGATTAATGGAAATTGTCATAAAACTACCCCAGCCCCCTCACTTTTCATGTGGGATAACTCTGAGAGTGGTGTAATTCCCTGTTTCCTAAAGTCTTTAGTGGGATTAAGCTCATTGCCCATGACAGGAACTTGCTTGGTAATGATTCCTGTGGGACTAACTTCCCTTTCTTCCTCCCCTACAGGTTTTTCCTGGGATGATCTCTCAAGGAAATTGCTTGCACTTGAATGCTTGTCCCAGGGTCTGCTTCTGAGGGAACCTAACCTAAGACAGGGACAAACATGACAGATGTCTCTGACCTCACATTTTTAGCTTTAATATAGTTACATAGGAGAAGATAGTGTAAGAGCCATCCAGAAGTCATTGTCATACCCAAATCAGATCCTTCAATGCTTTGCTGACTAGCACCAGCAGAACAACAGCCTTTGTGGTTAGAACTAATGAATGACTGGGGACTATAAGTTAACACATCCCCCTCTTTGAAGACTGTTACTAGTTAAAAAAAAAAAAAAGCCATAGGCCCTGAAGTTTTTTTAAAAATGAAAAAGTCATTTATTTCACTGAGCATCCTTTCATCTAAAATCTTTCTACTGTGTAATTCTGTTTTGCAGGTGGCATAAATAACACAGAGATGCTAGCTGCGTGAGTAAGTCAGCACCATAGTGGTAGGCAGGCTGCAGGACTGGTTTTGGAATCCTGGCATACCCCTTTCAAAGCAGACTATCACTTCTCCCTAGGATAGTGAGACAGCAGAGAAAGTGATGACTTCAATCCACTTGGGTCCCCTCCATGACAGGATGACAGACAAATCTGCACCTTTGCTCCGCCTGCTGTGTCCCTCAGTAACAGCTCTGGGGAGCCATGCAGAGTGGTTGAGAGCTGCAGAGCAATGCTAGTGATTGTGGGGGTTTCCCAGAAAAGCCCTGTTTGCAT